TGCACACCGTAACATTACAACCCGACCAAAATATGGGCCCAGCAGATCCTTTTGAGCAGGAGCTATTGGAGTTTTCCTTTGCTTTGGATGACTGCTCGTATCGATGGTTGGGAGCGTCCAGGGTTCAGCAGCGAGAGGCTGTTCTGGCAGAGGCACGCCGGATTACTATGGAGAAGCCAGGCTTGGTTAAATTCTTATCGGGCAGGATTTTGGATTTTCTCACGGTGTGTTATCCCCTGCCTGACAGCCCCAGGCCTCCCAACTCCCGTTTTGATACCACACGCATCGGTGTGGTCCGTCTGGCGTCAGCCCCTGCTTCTCACCCAGTGTTTGCTACAGTCCAGGAGCCATTCGCTGGTACTCGTCTGGCCTTTGGAGGTCCACGGAGCCTCCAAACGGCTCCTAAAGGAAGGAGTCGCAAGGCCAGGTTGGCAGCACGAGCCCAAAGGGCCATGGTTCCAGAACCAGTTCAGCCTCCAGCAGCCATGGTTACAGACCCAGTTCTGGCCCCAGCAGCCATGGTCCTTGCTCCAGAACCGGTCCCGGCAGCCATGGATTCGGCTCCAGAGCCGGCCCATACAGCCATGTTTCCGGCTCCAGAACCGGACCTTACAGCCAAGATTCTGGCTTCAATTCCGGCTCCAGAACCGGACCTTACAGCCATATTTCCGGCTCCAGAACCGGACCTTACAGCCATGTTTCCGGCTCCAGAACCGGACCTTACAGCCATGTTTCCGGCTTCAGAACCGGACCTTACAGCCATGATTCTGGCTTCAATTCCGGCTCCAGAGCCGGCCCATTCAGCCATGTTTCCGGCTCCAGAACCGGACCTTACAGCCATGTTTCCGGCTCCAGAACCAGACCTTACAGCCATGTTTCCGGCTCCAGAACCGGACCTTACAGCCATGATTCTGGCTTCAATTCCGGCCCCCGCAGCCATGGTTCCAGACCCCGCAGCCATGGTTCCAGACCCAGCTCTGGCCCCAGCTCTGGCCCCAGCTCTGGCCCCAGCTCTGGCCCCAGCTCTGGCCCCAGCTCTGGCCCCAGCTCTGGCCCCAGCTCTGGCCCCAGCTCTGGCCCCAGCTCTGGCCCCAGCTCTGGCCCCAGCTCTGGCCCCAGCTCTGGCCCCAGCTCTGGCCCCAGCTCTGGCCCCAGCTCTGGCCCCAGCTCTGGCCCCCAGCTCTGGCCCCAGCTCTGGCCCCAGCTCTGGCCCCAGCTCTGGCCCCAGCTCTGGCCCCAGCTCTGGCCCCAGCTCTGGCCCCAGCTCTGGCCCCAGCTGCCACAGTCCCATCTCAAGTTTTCTCTCGAGTCCCCTCTCCAGTTTCTTCTCAAGTCCTCTCTCCAGTTCCCTCCCGAGTCCCCTCTCCAGTTCCTTCTCAAGTCCCCTCTCCTGTTCCATCTCTAGTCTCTTCTCGAGTCACCTCTCGAGTTCCATCTCTAGTCCCTTCTCAAGTCCCTCCTCTAGTCCCCTCTCTGGTCCCTTCCCGGGTCCATCCTCTAGTCCCTACTCAAGTCCCTCCTCTAGTCAATTCCCTAGTCCCATCTCTAGTCCCTCCTCTAGTCTCCTCTCCAGTCCCCTCTCGAGTTCCCTCCTCTAGTCCCTCCTCTAGTCCCTCCTCTAGTCCCCTCTCTAGTCCCTCCTCGAGTCCCCTCTCTAGTTCCCCTCTCGAGTTCCCTTCTCTAGTCCTTTCCCTAGTCCCTCCTCAGGTCACTTCTCTAGTCCCATCTCCAGTTCCCTCTCCAGTTTCCCTCTCCAGTTCCCTCTCGAGTCCCCTCTCCAGGTCCCTCCTCTAGTCCCTCCTCTAGTCCCCTCTCTAGTTCGCCTCGCGAGTCCCCTCTCGAGGTCCCTCCTCTAGTCTCCTCTCAAGTCCCTACCCAATGTCCTGGTCCGTTGGAGGTTCCGCTGGGGGTCCTGCCAACTCCATGTCCTGTCCCGTTGGAGGACCCGTCGACTACTCCTCTGCCGGGGGTCCTACCAATCGTATGTCTGTCCCGTTGGAGGTCCCGCCGTCTACTCTCCTGCCAGGGGTCCTGCCAGCTCCTTGTCCTGTCTCGTTGGAGGTCCCGTCGACTACTCTCCTGCCGGGGGTCCTGCCAACCCTTTGTCCTGTGCCGTTGGAGGCCCCGCCGACTACTCTCCTGCCGGGAGTCCTGCCAACCCTTTGTCCTGTACCGTTGGAGGTCCCGCCGTCTACTCTCCTGCCGGGGGTCCTGCCAACCCTTTTTCCTGTCCCGTTGGAGGGCCCGCCGTCTACTCTCCTGCCGGGGGTCCTGCCAACCCTTTGTCCTGTCCCGTTGGAGGTCCCGCCGTCTACTCTCCTGCCGGGGGTCCTGCCAACCCTTTGTCCTGTCCCGTGGAGGGCCCGCCATCTACTCTCCTGCCGGGTGTCCTGCCAACCCTTTCTCCTGTGCCGTTGGAGGCCCCCGCCGACTACTCTCCTGCCGGGGGTCCTGCCAACCCTTTGTCCTGTCCCGTTGGAGGTCCCGCCGTCTACTCTCCTGCCGGGGGGTCCTGCCAACCCTTTGTCCTGTCCCGTTGGAGGGCCCGCCATCTACTCTCCTGCCGGGTGTCCTGCCAACCCTTTCTCCTGTGCCGTTGGAGGCCCCGCCGACTACTCTCCTGCCGGGGGTCCTGCCAACCCTTTGTCCTGTCCCCTTGGAGGTCCCGCCGTCTACTCTCCTGCCGGGGGTCCTGCCAACCCCTTGTCCTGTCTCGTTGGAGGTCCCGTCGACTACTCTCCTGCCGGGGGTCCTGCCAACCCTTTGTCCTGTGCCGTTGGAGGCCCCGCCGACTACTCTCCTGCCGGGAGTCCTGCCAACCCTTTGTCCTGTACCGTTGGAGGTCCCGCCGTCTACTCTCCTGCCGGGGGTCCTGCCAACCCTTTTTCCTGTCCCGTTGGAGGGCCCGCCGTCTACTCTCCTGCCGGGGGTCCTGCCAACCCTTTGTCCTGTCCCGTTGGAGGTCCCGCCGTCTACTCTCCTGCCGGGGGTCCTGCCAACCCTTTGTCCTGTCCCGTTGGAGGGCCCGCCATCTACTCTCCTGCCGGGTGTCCTGCCAACCCTTTCTCCTGTGCCGTTGGAGGCCCCGCCGACTACTCTCCTGCCGGGGGTCCTGCCAACCCTTTGTCCTGTCCCGTTGGAGGTCCCGCCGTCTACTCTCCTGCCGGGGGTCCTGCCAACCCTTTGTCCTGTCCCGTTGGAGGGCCCGCCATCTACTCTCCTGCCGGGTGTCCTGCCAACCCTTTCTCCTGTGCCGTTGGAGGCCCCGCCGACTACTCTCCTGCCGGGGGTCCTGCCAACCCTTTGTCCTGTCCCCTTGGAGGTCCCGCCGTCTACTCTCCTGCCGGGGGTCCTGCCAACCCCTTGTCCTGTCTCGTTGGAGGTCCCACCGACTACTCTCCTGCCGGGGGTCCTGACAACCCTTTGTCCTGTGCTGTTGGAGGCCCCGCCGACTACTCTCCTGCCGGGGGTCCTGCCAACCCTTTGTCCTGTCTCGTTGGAGGTCCCACCGACTACTCTCCTGCCGGGGGTCCTGCCAACCCTTTGTCCTGTGCTGTTGGAGGTCCCGCCGACTACTCTCCTGCCGGGGGTCCTGCCAACCCTTTGTCCTGTGCTGTTGGAGGTCCCGCTGACTACTCTCCTGCCGGGGGTCCTGCCAATCCTATGTCCTGTGCCGTTGGAGGCCCCGCCGACTGCTCTCCTGCCGGGGATCCTGCAAGTCCCGTGTCATGGTCCTCTTCCGTGGGGGATCCTGCCGAGGCCTGTCCCACCAGCTCCGACACCGGGTCCTGCCCGGCCTCCGGCACTGTCCCGTCAGCGCCTTCCTGCCCGGCCTCCGGAGCTGTCTGGTCTTCGCCCTCGAGCCCGGCCCCCTGAGAGCCGCGGTCTTCACCCTCGAGCCCGGCCCCCTGAGAGCCGCGGTCCTCGCCCTCGGGCCCGGTCCCCTGACTATTCCTGCCGTTGCCTTCGCCCTCGGGCCCGGCCCCCTGACTCTTCCTGCCGCTGCCTTCACCCCTCCATGGTCCCCACCTTGGACTCTGTCTTGCCCCCGGGCCGTCCGCCCGAGTCCCCCTTTTTGGACTCTGCCTTGCCCCCGGGCCGTTCGCCCGAGACCCCTTCCTGGTCCTCTGCCTTGCCCCCGGGCCGTCCGCCCGACTTCCCCTTTTTGGACTCTGCCTTGCCCCCGGGCCGTCCGCCCGAGACCCCTTCCTGGTCCTCTGCCTTGCCCCCGGGCCGTCCGCCCGAGACCCCTTCCTGGTCCTCTGCCGTGCCCCTGGGCGGTCAGTTCAGTCCCGTCCTCCTGACTCCCTCCACCCACCCTGGTGGCTTAGTGATGCGTCCCTCCTCCGGACCCCCTCCATCCACCCTGCTTGAGGATTTGGACTTTTTTTTGTTTTGGGACATCTGGGATCCGTCCCTTGAGGGGGGGGTACTGTTAGGATCTGTCTGTGTTGGTGTTTTTCTTGTCTTTTTCTATCTTTGGGTTTCCTGTTTTATTTTGTAGAGTGTTCACCCCCGTTTCCTGCCCGTTTGCTTTCTGTCTGTTTCCCTCCCTGATTACCCAATTGTGTTCACCTGGTGCCTCTGTTTTCTCCTCCCTCCTCACCTGTCTCGTGTTTATGTGATTAGTCCTGGGTGTATTTAAGTTCTGGGTTTTCTGTCTCTCTTTGTCGGGTTGTCTTGTGTAATGACTTGGTCTGCGGTGAGTGTTCTGTTCTGTCTCTGTATATTATAGCCTTGAAATAAAGGAATTATTTTTGTCACTTAAATCTGCATTTGGGTCCTGATTCCTGCACACCGTAACAGACACAAACACTGTCAGCATCTCAGCCCTGATAAAGTAGGCTAAACACGTTTTAGACTTTTCCCCCTCAAGACAGCTTAATTATATATTGTTGCAAAAGCCTCCCAAATACTCTAATGTTCTTATGTGAATGTGCTCGAGGCAGTCTGAATTCGTGCACTGATGTTTTGTTGTGACGTGTTGTTCTTGCCAACAGGATGGCCTTTCGGAAGCCTGGTCTGCAAGATGAGCGGCATGGTCCAGGGGATCTCTGTGTCAGCATCCGTCTTCACTCTGGTTGCTATTGCTGTAGACAGGTACAGTGGCTGTATTTCACTTTTACTGCTACATGTAATATGACAGAACATTTCCTCTACCCAGCATCTTTCACACTTGAATTGCCCAAGTGCTTAATGTGCAAAAGTAAACGGATTACAGCAGCAACCACTCTGAGAACACGAACCGTCCCAAAGGCGTCACAACCCGATTAATTTTCCTGACTAAGTATTCTAATCTCAATTTTCAGTGACTGCCTTTCTGGAGCCTTCTGTATTTATATTTTTTTGTGATAGGAAGATATGTAAGAATGCTCCAGAATTTCTTTTTAATTTGATTTGGCTGAGAGGAAAGCTAACAGCCTTTATCAATTTGTTGGGTGTTAAATCTAAAATGAGTCCTAACATTTCTTCTTGGTGAAGTGATAGTTTGATGGCATCATATTTGTGAATTTTCTTTCCCATTTTGGAACAATGTTTAAAAAGAAAGTCTTCATTAGTGAACCTTGAGTTCAGAATATTTAAAAACGGATATGTGTTCCCCAAGGTTCCTGCTCACCTTAGATACATATATGTTTAAACCTCACTCAAAAATAAAGATACATTTTAAGTGAGTTTAAAAACAAAATTAGCACCACATCGTCTTTTTTCTCCCTTTACATAATTGTCCATCCCCGTATAAAGACAGCCCAATGAGGATGTTTGTACAGCCTTCTCATCTTTATGTGCTTGTCCTCTTTTCAACCATTGTGCTGAATTGCCTAATTGCTGTTCATGCAGATGACACCAGCTGGCTCTTAAGCATGCAGCACTGTCACCAATTGAAGTTACCTGAGGGGGTCTGTGCCTCTAGAAAGGAAAATAATTTGAAATGCTTTGACACAAAAGGTCAAAGTCACCGTCCATCAGGCAGAAAATTAGAGTTAGATTTGAGTGGATAAAGGGCATTTTGTCTGCCCTATTGGCCGTTTTATTAATGCACGGAAAAGCCAGATCCTAACAACTGCATCTATTCATATGTGAGCTTATTGCTATCATACCATCATATCTAACATAATCCCCTTTTTCCTCTTATCTTTAACATCAACACCATGTATTGAAATTGATCAGCCCAGATGTCTCTGCATGCGTGTGTTCTTAAACTACAAATCAAAAGATCCGAGAGCTCCAAGCAATAAACCTTCTCTCTAACATGGTAGTCATCAGTTATGTCTACTGTCAGTTTCTAATCTAGTCTGAGAACAGACACATGCCGCTGCCTATAATTACACCATGCTTCACGGCACGCAATATCTGATAATGATGTCGGCTTTTTGAAAGCTTCCTGTCCTCTTAGAAACGGATACAGCATTGGAGGCGGGGTCCAATTGATTCCCAATAAAGACACTCAGTGGTTCATGAAACCAAAATGGCCCTTATCTTCCACATCCATTGGACCCATTGAGAGAGATAATTGCTAATTTGACAACCTTTAGGACAGAATGTTCCAAATAAGGCCGTTCAAGTTTTCGTGCTGCAAAGGCAATATAAATGTATGCATATCATTTAAGTCTGTATTAACACAATAATAATAAACACTGTTTTCTGCCATTTCTCCTCCGATTAAGAAACTCTTAAGCCTAAAGTCTTCCTCCCTGCTAGGAGCTCTCTTAATGGCTAAGAAGTTTAAAGATGAATACATGTTGTATTTAGGCCCCGTCCACACGGAGACGAAACGGAGACGAAGATGAAAACGAACCTTAGTCGTTTTCAAAAAAGTCTTTCCAAAAACCACAGCACATTTATTGTGGCAACACCAAAAACAACACAAATGATGAGAGGCTGGGCGAGGGGAAAGGATCCCGGCGAGAGTCTCCCCACAGGAGTCTTGGAGAGAGTGGCGAAGGCCCCTTGACTCCTAACCCCAACCCCAACCCTAACCCTGGGCAGCTGGGCTTAAGTAGAACCTGGGCTCCGGCCAGGTGTCCCCAGTTATGCTGATTGTTTCCTCAGCTCCACCCCCATCAAAGGACCTGCAACACACACCACTAACAGGCAACAGGCTCTGGGGCCATCACAGCCCCCCCCCCCCATAAAGTCAGGTCTCGCCAGGAGAACGTGTATATGTGGCAGCTTCCAGGTAAAGTTAGCGTCAACCCTCACAGGGTGAAAACAGTATTTCCGGTCTCGAAGTTTTCATAATAAAACCGGAAGTATTCCCCTCACTGTCAAATGATTACACAGTGATATCTGCATTACTCATCCGCTAAAAAACATCAGTTTATCTTTGTTAATTACACAATATTGATTGGTTTAAATTGTGTACAATGCTCTTGTGTTTTTAACCTTCGATTCGGAGAAACAAATAGTTATTTCAGAGTTTAGACACAACAGAGTTTCCGAAGACACTACACTACCCAGAATCCCCAGCTATCGTTTGGGACTACAACATCCGCCTTGCTTTACAAACCCCGTGATTAGTCCTCAAGCTCTGTGATTGGATGTTGGAGTGGCAGTGCGACAAGGTTACGCCGAGCGTCAACAGCTCTTTGAAATGGAATGGAACCACGGCAGACTATCCAAAACTGAACTCGGACTCGGACCCCCCCCCCCCCCCCGAACTACACATGCTGGCTATTGTGTGTTACACAACATGTTCTATGGCACGTCTCTACTGGGAATTGTAGTTTTATAAGACGTTTTCGTATTTCCCACAATTAGAAGTTGCAAGTATTAAACTGTGTAGACCCCTGGAGGTTTAGGGGATACCAAACACATTGGTGTTAACTAATTTAAAACATATAATTAATAAATGGGTGAAAATTGCTTGTGCCCATAATGGGCAGCATTAATATACCCACATGACAGCTAAGGTCAGAAAAGCTTTATTTAACAGCTGGTCTTATGTTTGTGACCCCTCCTGTTGTTCATTGATAAGCCTGAAACATGCACTTGTCAAGGTTCAGAGGCAAATTTTGCAAATATGGCAGTAGCCATCGATCATCATAAGATAAGATAAAATATACTTTATTGATCCCAAGTTGGGAAATGTTTTTGTTACAGCAGCATGTACTACTTTGTTCTACTCCACTACAATTCAGAGGTTAACCTGGTACTTTTACTCCAATACATTTATTTGTGTTACTTTGCAGATTCTGATTAATGATGTGAAATATAAACAACCCTTAAATCAGACTTTAGTTACACCTGAGTCAAATTCAGGGAAGGTGATTGTCAAGTGCCAAATTAAACTATGCAATATATTAGACGCTAAGTACTTTGTCAGACTTAATATTTATCTGTGGATACCCCCAAAGCTTTTTTCTTGTTCAAAAGAAGACCTTAACTTAAAGTATTATTTAAGGTTTAAATAAAGCCTTATTAGTGTGTCTGTTTTGCACATCCTCCTATTAATATCTTTGGACGTCCTGCACTAAACTGTTTTATTGTAGAGATCACTACAGTATCTTCTTGATATTTTATATTCTATATTTCTATCATTGACCTTCTACTTTCCCCCTATTTTGTATGTAGGCTACTCTTAATATTTAAATGTTTTCATCAAATATAACATTCAACAACAAAATTCAATAACGTGCTTTAACCACTAGGCGGTGCGGGTTAAAAAACCAGTGTTCTAGTTAATAAAATATAATACTATCAGCTATTGAAATTCTGATTCCATAGATGTGTCTCCCATCACCCAAAACCCCTAACTATTCTCTCAACTCAGTATTTACATTCTTTAATTCAAAAAAAATCAGTAATATCTTTAAAAACTCCTTTTCTATCAGCTGTGCACCGTTATGGTGTAAATATAACCTATCTACCAATTGGATCAAATATAAAAGTCAGCCCAATTACTATTGATACTGCAAGGAGACGTATTGTGTGAAAATAAATGGAAGATGTTGTTTAATTGCTGATATATTTATGATCCACGTCACATATTCAGTTTCGGCTGCATTTCTTCCCGTTTGTCCAAAGGTCTTCTGATCAGGGCTCTATAAATAGAGAACTACTGCAGATGTGTAATATTTAATGCAGCCGAACCGTGTATTACAATGCCGTTATGTGATGATTTCCAAAGAGAAAAGCAAGAACACTCGGAATAAAGTATTATTTAAAAAAAAAAAAAAAAAAAGTGTTCCGATTTCATATCGCATAAACACCATATCCCGACGTGCATTGTGGCTAAAACATCCAGGATTGTGGGTAGTTCGGTGTTCAAAACCTCTGAAAAAAGAAATTTGTCTCTCAGAATCGAAAGAGAAAAACCTATGGGAAAAACACAAAAGCATTGTACACAATTTAAACCAATTAATGTCGTGTAATTAACAAGGATAAACCGATGTTTTTTTAGTGGATGAGTACTGCAGATATCACTGTGAAATCATTTGATCATTGGTTTTATTATGAAAACTTCGAGACCGGAAATACTGTTTTCACCCCGTGAGGGTTGACGCTAACTTTACATGGAAGCTGCCGCATGTACACGTTCTCCTGGCGAGACCTCAAATCATCTTCGTAATATCTATCAAACTATAGATCCTACACATCCACTGGACGTGGATTCTAAAAGTACAATATAGACTTCTCGCTAGAAATCTAATCAAAAAGCATTTTAATGGCCAAACTATCCTACAATTTAGGATTTTACAGAGAGGGTTATTTGTGAATAAACAACCATCTGTAACGTTAGCATTCAACGGGAGCACTAGAGGTCGAAAACTTTAAAACGTGATTATCGTTTGTATTAAGCGCTTGAACAAACAACCTATTTGGTCATAAGAGTTGGAGGACTTGTTGCTAAGAAAACATCATAATCCTAAAGGTTTATTTATATTTTCTCCAATTCAGTTTGGCTAAAAATAACTACATGCCGTTCTTAAGTACAGAAGTCAGGAGGAAATCATAAATCAATGAATGCTGGTTTCAGACGAAAAATAACACCAATTTTTTTGAAGGAAAGTCTGTTGTTAAGATACATTTTTAATTTGGTGGAACACATCCAAATTAGAGTGCATTCTTTTTTGTAAGTATAGCTACAACAAATTGCCTCATTTCCCAACGTATCGGGTAAGTATCTGGTAAAGGTCGAGAGCTCAGATGTCTCAGAAAAGGGCTTGTGGGAAAAAACCCTAAAGAAGTTTTCAGCAAAGCAATACAAAAATTAGGAAGACTGGCCATATGTTCATGGATGTAGTTATTCATACTTCTATTCCGCTCTTCAAAGTGCCAGAAATGAAGAAAGATGGGGCTGACGTCAAAAGGAAGGGCAAAGAGCGTATTAGCTACACAGAGTGGTTCCATCTCACAGAGGAGTACCGAGTCAACAGACTCTCACTTGATTGTGGCTTTCAACCTCAGACTTACATTGCTGCTAGCAGGGATGTCACATACTGCAGGGACACACTGCTGACACTTCAGAAGGAAATATACAGACAGCACACCGTATGAGCTGCTCATTTATACCAAATTGAACAGTAGACCTCTGTTCTAATTTAGATATACTTTTAGGTTAATCAGAGCTCAAATTCCTCAAAGATATAGAAAGCAGTTAAAAGAAAGAAGGAAAAAGGGTCCTTAAAAATCTGCAGATATTATTTACCTTTTAATAACATTCAACACAGCCAATATACAGCAGTCATGGATCACAATTGCGATAATAAGAGAGGCTTGGATAATTATGCCCAAATAGTTTTGAAATGAGTTTAAAGTAAATATTGTGCTTTGCAGCGATGAAAAGGGGAATCAGCAGAAACAGTCAAGTCAATGTTCTCTATTGAAACCTGACCCCAAAGTTAGCGCAAATACAAATCAATTTTGTCTATGTATGTGCTTTCACCTTGATCTTTTTTTTATTTAAGTATTGTATGTCTCAGCTAATTATTCTAAATATACAAGTGGTAAGCAACAGTCACAAGACAGTCATCATTTTAGGAGGTGAAAGACAACTCAAAACAAAAATATGATACATATCTGTGTACTCTGTGTTTCTATGAACAAAGTGTATTTTTTAAGATTAGAAGGGCACAGTTGACGAAATATGCTGCTGTATTCGCAGGAAACACCGTATTTGTACAAATAAAATTCCATTTAGTATCAAGGATTTTTGCAAAAAATATAAATATTACATAAAATTACACAAATCAGGAAACCGATCTCTGATGCAATATTGACAGGACTCATGAGGTTTGACTCAAACGTTGACAGTTTAACAGTGTTTCTGCATTTGTATTGTTATATGCATTGAACTATGGATATATAGTTAGTCAAGTGTTGTCTGTTTACTCAATAATAAGGAAAGGGTTGCTTCATAAAAACAGGTGAATAACCACTGCTTTATACATATGACCGAGAGGTTTTGGTTAACATCCCTTTGAATACTTATCATTATGTAGTAAATGTTCTTTGCTGTCACTCACCATTTGTGGAAAATATATTTTTATAAACAGGTAAAATGTCTACTTGAATCTTCCTGATCCGTCCTTTTTTTCCTTATTTTCTTTTTGCAGATTCAGATGCATTGTCTACCCATTCAAGCAAAAGCTGACTATATCCACAGCCTCCTTGATAATAGTCATTATCTGGGTTCTGGCCATATCCATCATGTGTCCATCTGGGGTGATGCTACAAGTTACCAAGGAGCACACCATTCGAGTTTTACTGGGTTATGACAACAAAACAAACCCGTTTTATTGGTGCAGAGAGAACTGGCCAAACCAGGAGATGAGGAAGGTTTACACCACGGTTCTGTTTGCAAACATCTATCTAGCTCCACTTTCCCTCATAGTGATCATGTACGCCCGGATTGGCATCACGCTTTTCAAAACTTCAGTTCCGACAGCAGGAAAGCTGGGCCATGAAAACCGGCACACTGTTTCAAAGAAAAAGCAAAGGGTGATTAAAATGCTTCTAGTAGTTGCTTTGCTTTTCATCCTTTCCTGGTTACCTCTGTGGACCCTCATGATGTTGAGCGACTACGCCAGCCTGACTGAGCAGCAGTACAGAATCATCAACATTTACATTTACCCCTTTGCTCACTGGCTAGCCTTCTTCAACAGCAGCGTCAATCCCATCATTTATGGTTTCTTCAACGAGAATTTCCGCAGAGGATTTCAAGCTGTGTTCAAGTTCAGCCTGTGCACGGCGGACGGACAGCGGAGGAAAACCTACTCACACAGGCTGCAGGGAAACTCTGTGCTCCCAGCTAACAACGCACAGACGTCCCTGGAGCCTATTTCTCTCAACAGTCTAGATAAGAACACTTCCAGGCGACTCAATCATGTCACTGAACAGGACTTGGTAATGGAGGACCTGGAGAAGGCTTCTTGCAGCAGCGGGGGGGGTAACTGCAGTTTCCATTTGATAAAACGTTATCAAAGGTGTTCAAATCAAATGTCTGAAAATTGCCTGCATCATTGAAACATTATTCATCCAAAACCGCTTAGTAGTAGTTTGTCCAAGGCAATGAAGATACTTATCCTTGAAATGACATATAAAGCATTCATTTATTACTTGGTTTGTCTTGAAGCGGGCTACCTGCGATAAATATGTGTCCAAAACAGATGCCTAAATAACCAATCAAAAAAAATAGAACACTCATTTTGTTGAACACAGTTCCTTATCACCTGGAAGCCACATGATGTATGTTGCACATATTGTGCCATGTTAAAAATGGACGCAGGTTGTGCGGCATGTTGGAATTGTTATTTTCAAAAGGGGGAAAATCTTGTTGGATAGTGCGTCCTTTTTCAATTTGGATTGGTAATAAGTACATTGATAACAGGCTACGGGCCTGCTCATGACATGCAAAACAAAAAACCTGTATACATGTATAAAAATCAATCAAACGTGTACAGTATGTACTATGATGTATGCAGAGCAGATTTCAAAAGTCAAGTCACTTCAACACAAATAATTCAACGTTTTTATAAGATGCACACTGGATGAATTCATCATGTATTCACTGTTACTGATCATGAAAACCTGAGTGGTACTGTGGTCTGTAAACCTGCTTTTGAACAAGGCTTAGAAATCAAGGGCTAAAACATGAACTCAAGCAGTTGAACACGGTGACAGAAGTTGAAGTAACAATCTTTCGAGTAGGCGTGACAGTACAATTACTTTTTTCAAGACCTTATTTATACTTCGGCGAACAAAACTTTACAGAGGGAGGATGAACTCAAGCAAGCGATCACGGCTTTAAATTTGTGAGATCGTTTTCAGACTTAATAATGACAATGAGCCCTTGTTTATGTAATTCAGACTAAAACAGGGCATACACTAATACTTAATTAGTGTAAAGCTTTTCACGCTCCTGGAATTGCTAAACTGCAAATATATTATCGACTTTTGCATTTTACATGGCTATTTTGTATACATTTGCAACAGTCTGATTAAGTCTGCTTTGTCAGCTGCTGCTCTCTTCTAGCCTGTGGATTTAATCCTTTGTCTTTTCAGTCTTTCTGAAAAATGTCCCTGTGTTTCCTATCCGTATTATGGGATACAAATGACATCTGGTTAGTAAATGTGAACATGTTGCCATTTTAATCAGGATTGCTCATTAGCATTTACCAACTGCAGGCTGCAGCTTTGACAGCATGCCGTTGGCTAACACTCATTATACTGAGAAAAAGTAATCATACGTTCATATAATTACTGTAATGTTGGACACCTCTGTCAGTGGCAATGTTGTTTCTCAAAATTCTACCCACATATCTCAGAAACTAATGAGAAAGAAAATGTCTTTGAATTATGTTTTTCTTTCAATTAACTTCATTTCACTGAAGGGGTTTTTCCTTTGATAACAACATTTGTAATGTAAGTTATTTCTTTGAGTTTACACATCTCATCCACCATGTTTCTGTTGATTGTGTTTTTAGATAGGTAAAACAGCCATCAATATGATAGTCTTTTTTGAATCACTGAGAAAGGAAGGTTTACAGGGTTTGGAGATAATCCAGCAGATATCATTTCAAACCAATAGCACACAATGGAAATGTATATTCTGACAGAAACTGTGAATTGTCACACCATTTAACAATGGAGATTGTTGTTAATATACAAAACATATAATATAAATTCCAAATTCTGACTATGTGAGCCATCTTTTTCAATTTCAATTTGTATTCTGAAATCTGCTCTGTGTACATTGGGTTTTATGTTGCTGAATATAGTATTGATTATTCATGAATATCTCATGAGCCTCTTATGAATGTGCCATGTAAATCTCAGATAAAGTGTTTTGCTGTTATTTTATTTTGTATCTCTCTGTCTTGTACTGTAAATGGGAAAACGGTGGGCCTGCATTTGCCCCAAAATATGTATCGTCTGCTGTAAGTATATGTTACTAAGTCTAAAGCTGAAATTACAAGTGATATCTGTCTGTGTGAACTGGCTATAGTATTCTTGCTGGGTAGTGTACTGAACGACCTTTGTCTCAGGCTGTTTTACATTATTTACATTTCTACAGTTGTTGGCGTCAGTAAAATGTTCTCAAAAAGGGGTCCATTTTGAAAAATTGTGCAGGAAAGACATAACAATTGTAAAGTAAAACCAACCTTAAGGGACATGGTAAACTCCGGTGGTCATTGGATGCCCTTAGCTCTTCAATCTGTACGATGGAAGTGTAGTAGTGATCCTGCCCTGTTCATAAGAACCTTAACAGCTCGGTTCGATCAACCTCTCTCAGCTTGTTGTAGCAACACCTTGTATGAGAAAACGAAAAAAATATCTGCACTAAAGGTTAATTCAAGGAAACATAAAATTGATTGTTCAGAGTGAGGCCGTGTTTAGCCAAACAGCTAAGAAAAAGCTAAGGACAAAGGGGAGTTTTAGTGGAAACCTGCTTTATGAGGAGGAAATAGTCTGAGAGTAAAAACTCAGACAACAAAGACACACTGATTGTGGTGGAGACTGGGCACTTTAAAATACATTTTGTCTGATTCTCCTAATTTAGGAGTTTTCATAACTGCAAATTGTGCAACTACCAACTGAGTCGCAAATCAGTGCTTAATCAGAGAAGTTCCCAAAAGCATTGACATTAGCATTTTCTACTGTAAAATCGAATAGCTCTTTTGTGACAATGTGCTATACAATATATATTTTTTACAGGTCGATAAAAATAATTCAATTTGAAGGTTGTAATGCAGAGTTGAAACTAAGACCCTTCACATCTATTTTCTCAGGCTTTCAGCCAAATGTCTTTAGTATCTGGCTGCGCTCCATTTAAAATGTCCACTGGAAATGTGTCACAAGCGGAGCATCGGTTGTTAAGCCACGTTTTCTAGACACCTTCATGTTGTACCACAGTTATATAGCGGCTCATTTAGGTGCGTAAATGCTGTACTTAGTCATGACAAGCTTTAGTAGTTTCCATATTTTTCAGTCATTACTTATTTTATATTTCAAAACAGCCAATTGCACAGCAAATCTGCTGACATTAACTTGTAGTTGTTTAAATGTGGTGATTATAAAATTATAATTAGTTTTCTAAGTGCAGTTCAGCAGCTTTGTATTGATTGCAGAGCAACATGGTATTTATGAGACGCCATCAATGTTTAATCTCGCTGTACTATCTGACGACAGCGATCATTGGCTGGTAGTCTGCTTGTGTGAGGCGTGAAAGGCGGGTACAAGTGATGCCTTAGCCAGCATTTAAAAATATATTTGACACTTGTCATTAGCAGAAACCTTCAATCTTGACAAGTTGTCCACTAAGATAATCATCCCGTTCATTGAACAGCAATAGGAAACCTGGGGAAAGCTTTTTACCCCTTTATGGATGCAAGTTATGAATTGTTAGATTAAATTAGTCTCAATCAATGTTAATTTGTGAAGAATAAAAAAATAGGACTTGCCATGTTCATCTACTATGACGTCAATACATTGTTTTAATTGGCAGAAAAAAGGAGACCGTATATTTTAGAATGTAATTCCCACATCAGGTATAATGCGGCAGATTACAACTAGGAAGATTAGATTAATTTACTCTAATTAAAGTTGACAATTAAAATCGTGCCCTCATTGGTCATGTGCACTTTCGTGTGTGTTGGAGGAGGGGCTCTGTAAGGAAGTGGCAGATTTCTTCCGGCTGTGTATTTTCAAATTCTAGCGCACTCGAGCTGGTTTCTCCAAAATTACCTACCCCACCTTTTAGTCAACCAAAACAAGATGGACAGGGTAAAGTTGACGATACATTATAAAAGAAAAAAAAGGCTGATTAAAATAATAGCTGACGAAATGAACACAAATCTCAATGCTTTCAAAAGAAATCCCACAGGGATCAGGAAACAAACTGCCATTTATTCAGGGGACCTCTTATGGCACCAGACATGGCTGCTAAGAGTTTCCTAACACCAGCCAGCCTCCGTACTGAACTCACACCCATGTTTTTCATGCTCATAACTCATTCTGCCGTGGTTTGTTACTGTCTTCAGCAGTCAGACCTCCAGTGAGAGCCCAGTTGAAAGGTTTCATGCCTCCCTTTATACCCAAAAGGGAAGCATGAAACCTTTTGGTCACCATTGCATGTGTTAACGCATCAGCGTTAACACATGCAATGGTGACCCTGATCTGATCCTCCTTTTGAACAGCCAGTTCACATACACCGCTGCTCACCTGGGGCAGAGTGCTATTATTTATTATACATTCTGACTTCCTCTGATATTCTGCCGTACCGACCATCTGGAAACCTGGTTCATAAATCCAGATTTTAATTAGATGCAATTTTTGGCTACTAAAGAGTGCATTTATGTGTGTTAATTGTACGCTACAACGGATTGTGGGCGAAATGCCATGGTAAAGTGTAATTGCATTTCATTTAATTTTTCAGAATCTATTCAATGTGATTTAGCTTCTTGAAATTGAATTAAGATTTAGAATTACCAGCTCAGAAGTTGTACCACTAACCATAAATCCATCCTCATTCACAAGCCTCACAGTCACAGCTTAAAAACATCAGGAAGCCATGTTGTTTGTTCCCATTTTAGCTCACAGTTCCCAAAATATACCTTTTTATAATAATGTTGGTTATGATTGGGAATCATTGCCAACACTACTGTATCCCCGAGTTTTGGTACAGATGTTTTAACTAAATAAGCAGGAACTGCTCCATGCAGTTAACTTTGCCTATATATATAAAGTCTTACGTTTCATATTTACAGTAAATCAGGAAAATATACCAAAAATAACTGCTCATTGTATTGAAATTAGCTTTCCACTTTCTACACAAACGCCAACTGCCAACACCTGATCAAAAAAAGAAAAAATGTCATAAAAATGGAAGGAGAAAAAAAAATGTTGTATTTGTTTTCTAACAGCCGTTATAATAATTCATTTATTTTATATAGGCGCCTTTCAAGGCTCTCAAGGTCGCCGTACAAACACATACAAAACAAGATACACAATACCTAACACCAGCATAAGAAACATAAACAAGACAATGCAGTATACTGTATAACAAATCAAATAAATAAAACCGAGGATGTGTGATGGATAATGATCAGGGTGGATATGCGAGTGTGAAGAGATATGTTTTGAGGCGTGATTTGAAAATGGGGAGAGAGTCAGTGTTGCAGATGTCAGGTGGGAGGGAGTTCCAGAGGCGGGGTGCAGAGCGGCTGAAGGCTCTAGATCCCATGGTGGTTAAACAGAAGGGGGGTGCAGTGAGGCTGAGGGAAGCAGAAGATCTGAGTGTGCGGATGGGTGTGTTGATGTGCAGGAGGTCGAGAGGTACAGAGGAGTGAGGTTATGGATGGCCTTAAAGGCGAGGAGCAGAATCTTAAAAACGATACGGGATTTGACGGGGAGCCAGTGAAGCTGCTGAAGAACAGGAGTGATGTGGTTAATGGAGGGGGTTCTGGTGATGATGCGGGCGGCAGAGTTCTGAACCAGTTGAAGTCTGTGGATGGATTTGAGAGGGAGACCAAAGAGAAGGGAGTTGCAGTAGTCGATACAGGAAGTGACCAGGGTGTGAACAAGAATGGCGGTGGTCTTATGGTTAAGGGACGGGCGGAGGCAGTTGATGTTGCGTAGATGGAAATAGGCAGACCGAGTGATATTACTGATGTGAGATTTGAATGAAAGTGTGCCGTCGAGGATGACACCCAGACTCTTAGCCTGAGGGGAGGGGGAGACTGAAGAGTTGTCTATAGTAATGGAGAAACTGTCAGGTTTGGTTAGGGTGGATTTTGTGCCAATGAGGAGAACCTCGGTTTTACTGTCGTTAAGTTTGAGAAAGTTAGAGGAGAACCAGGATTTGATGTCCTGTAAGCAGTCAGACAGGGAGGATGGAGGGAGGATGGTGGTTGGTTTGGAGGACAAGTAGAGCTGGGTGTCATCCGCGTAGCAATGAAAGTGGATGTTGTGTTTACGGAAGATATTGCCAAGAGGAAGTAAATAGATGATAAAAAGAAGAGGCCCCAGGACAGAGCCCTGGGGAACACCGGTCGTGACTGGAAGTGGCTGTGATTTGAAGGTTTTGATTTGTTATGTGTTTCTGGCTTTTAAGCAGCAACCTTCATTCATTCCTGTCAAATAATTCAGAGGTAGGCTATTTACAATACTTTTGAACACCTCCAGACTCTTGATGGAGTTCAAAGCATTGCTTGTTGGGAATCATTCTGGCACAAACAAGATGTTGAGTGAATGTAATGAATTTGTACTTTTTGGTGCCTGTGGTGAAAAAAACAAACTTCTCTCTGTTTCAAAGTATGGACTTATTATTGTGATCTTCTTTTGGGGGGATCTAGAGCCTCTTGGTACCTTTGTATAGTCTGCATGTAAATATCTTGTGTACTAGCACAAGAGTTTCTTTGTGTGTCTGCACCTACATGTTCTCAAAATAATGTTAGAAAAACAATGTTAAAGATGTATTTGTTAGGACACAATTGCTGATAGCTGTTTTTACAGGAAGTGATAAAGAAGATTTGTATAGAAAGTAAGGAAGTAAGTGGTGTCCCATTAATATAATTGTAAAGGGCTATTCATCACATTATAAATAACTTCTGTGATTGTCAGCACAAAATATAATTGCAATTGTCAAGGTTCTGAATATCAAATTACTATTTTTTTGTACATAATCTAACGTAATTAATCTATATAAAGAGATTGAGGATTTAATGAATAGAAGATTTAACTGATGCGCCTCTGGTAAAAAGAAATTCCTACAATGAAATCCAATTGCAAACAGAATTTGTTCCAAATCTCTTCCACACTGGGAACAAATTGGCAATGTGACAACATTTACATAAATGGATAATAAATATTATATTTGCCTGACAGTAATGAAGGTGGGTACGCCTGACGCATTAAAGTGAATGTGGAATGAGTAAAAAAAATGCTATTCCCTGATTACATTCCTGTAGGTTAATGTTATGCACCTAGCAAGCTAACTGCTTGACAACATGCCTTAATGTTGTTAGATACTGGAGAGACTATTTATCATGAAGCAGGTGTTTAAAGGCTCATCATAGACCTGAACACTACACAACGATTTCTTATTGCATTACTGCTGTCACAACTAATACTATTAGTCTTGACAATCGTGATGTTAACTATAAAGTGTCTGAGAGACAGGCTCCATTCAAAGGAATGAGGGCTGTTTTTTCCATACAGGTCTCACATAGGTGTGAACTTTGCCTTACAGTGGTTGCTAACTTAAACCTCATATTTCAAGAAAAACTAACTTCAGCGACAAAGAAAGAGCATTTGAGTTCAAGTACGATAGGTTAACATATTTGCGATGATTTGCAGAGGGTGCATTAAGTAAGCAACACATATTTAGTTGTTCTGATTCATATGAAAACAACATACAGGGTGGAGATGAAGAACATTCACTCCACCAGGCCTGGTATGTCCATGTGTCAGAATAGCTCAGTTTATTACCACTCTTACAACATAGCCAGAGACCAAAGAAAAAAAACTGATAACACCAGTGTCTTATCTATGATCCAGTATCATGAAACGACTTAAAATGACACAACTATCGATAATGAGAATGTACTGTTATGGTAACAACTTTTGTGAATCAGGCGACACCTAATTAACATTTCAGTAATCTAGTATGTATAATTCAACAGGCAGCCGACAAAAGCTGAAGCATCAAAAGAAAAATATATTCAGAATAAGGTCAATACTCTTATTATCATGTAAATGTCAGTGTTTAATTCATCCGAGTAATTTGCCAACCAGAATAGAATAAAACAAGAGTCATTAAAGCTAAATCCTCTTCAACACCCAGCAGGGACAAAACTATGGAAATCTGGGATTTAGTAATACCAAATATATAAAGCCATTTGTATGGTAACCAGCTTTACATTCAAATTCCTCTTCTTAAAATGATCTTTTGACCATTTACAAAACTCAATTTGAGGATTCATTTAAAACTCTTTTATTGACTTTTAAAGCCCTCAATGGCCTGGCCCCGCCCTACCTCTCTGAGCTGTTACACGCCCACTCTCAGGTCAGCTGATCAGTTGCTCCTGAGGGTGCCAAAAACAAAGTCAAAGCTCAGAGGGGACCGTGCTTTCTCTGCTGCCGCCCCGAAACTGTGGAACTGTATTTGATGTATCTCTCTGTACAGCACTTTGGTCTGGAGGTTGTAAAGTGCTTTATAAATAAAGTTGTATTGGATTGGAAAAGCTAAAACCCAGATATTTTTGACAGTGTTTTTGTTAGTTTTGCTAATATATATATATATATAATGATAATGATGACAATTGACATAATCATTGTCAATGTGCTGAATTCCTCCTCAATCGGTAACTGATCCATCATATAATTCATACTTGATGTTGTATTTATTTCCAACAAATACAGGGTTCCCCTTAACATTTAATTATTTTGTCTATGAGAAACGATTATCTCAAGTGGAACAAAGAGTAATTGTGTCTGAAGTTGTTCCTTATAATGTTTGCAATTTTTACTTTAGTTGTATCCTGTTGTGCAGTGAGAGTTCGTATATATTTTGTGTGCTCGAACAATCACAGCAAGATATTTGGATGACGTTCTCCAGAGCCATGAACAACATAATGTCTGATATTGTCCTATGAAGTTGCGTACCAAGAGTCTGTATTTTGAGCGATTTCTGACACAATCTTTTTACTCTTAAGTTCTTTGCTGCCTTGTTGTCAGTAGCTGAAATGCTTGCTTGTTTGCTTTTTGCTTTCTACATACGCTCAGTAACCAGAAAAACAAACCCCTGTTTACTGCGACCTTGGTTTGAACCACTTTTCCACACGAACGAATGCTCTTCACAATTATTTTTCTGATATTATGTGGTAAGACATGATGGGATGAAAGAGGTATTGTCTCTTTCCTCACAAGATGATGGCTGAATGTCAAACATGCTTTGTGTATACCCTCAGTCCCACTCTGATCTCGTCTACTATGTGTTTTAATGTTTGTGTTCTAAAGGCCAATCATGCAATATTCCCATAAAGGCAATACAAGTTTGAGTCACTCCTTCCTTTGGGGAAACGTAATATCCATGATCCATGAGTGTCTATTTCTCTGGTCACTGAGTATATGTCAACTTTTGTTGTTGTTTTGATAACATGTAGAAAATATTGAATCAATGGAAATAATAAGTGTGGTTGTGTTTACGCTTGAAACAAAATTGTCAATCTAATTTCTGTCTTGCCTTTGTACCAAGAGATATTTCAATGTGCCCACACTGTGCCAGGGTGCATCGGAGTACTTATTAACAGAAAAATGTCCAAATGGTCATTAATAAAGATATTTGTCTTAACTCACAACAATAAAGTACTAAAATCTCTCTTCTGCACAGCATTTGATTCAGTGAAAACAGAAGAATAATCCTAAAAAGCTGTGCAACACATTGCGGTTTATTGTATTAAGTCTGATTCATTGGGAAAGAAAATCCTTCAGTGCATGTAGTGAGTGCATGCATATGCAATACACACATTTGGAGTGTACAGTCTTCCACAACTGCTGTGCCCTAATACGAAGGGACGATCGTTCCAGTTAGCTAGCGAACAGGGTACTCATAGTATCTGGTTCTTATGGGACGCTTTGCCATACTTTGCATTGGGACATACTCAAAACAACGTAAGTCAGAAGTATGAGAGTTGAGACACGATATCGGCCCAAATCTTCAGGTAGGTCTGTCTGTTAAACCTGATGTATTTCATTCTAATGAAATACGTTTATTTTCACATAATCTCATGAATCATTAATTAGCTTTAAGGTTAACAAGGAAGACCGTTAATGTAAAAAACAAAAGGTGTACCCTAAACAGAATAAAAGTTTAAATTGGTCAGTAAATAAACATACCATGTTTATCACCATTGCTAAGGTTTATTTTTGTCATGAGATGAAGCTGGTACAGTATACTGCTGTTAAACTGCTTCCTCTGTTA